CTTCCGCGAGCTCGGTCCACGAAGGCCAAAGAGAGGAGTGCGACCGGTCCACCAATCGGCGCACCAGGTTCACGAGCACAGTGCAGTCAGCCCAGAAAGCAGACTGGACCCACGTGTCGGCTGGCTGGAAATTGCTACGCGCACCTAGGAAACGTACACAGGATATTAAAAGTAAGCCTTTTCCATTCCAGAAAATCCCCAGAAAATTTCTAAATAAACTAGGTACACCCCAGATCCTACCCAAATATTTTCACCCCATTTCAATTATTCCAATTTCCACAAATAATTCCCAAACCTATATTCCACATATATTATTCCAATTAAATCTTTGAAAATTCATATCTCCTCCATCCAAACTCCAAATCACTTGCTTCCACCAACAAAATTCTTCTAAAATCCAGCTCTACCAATTCATACCATTTGTCCTATTATTTGGTGCCTATTTAAATTCTAGTATGTTTGCTTTTCCTTTCATATATTTAATTTAAATACTAACCGTAGTAATAGCCCCCACCGTAGTAGTAGATGACCCTGTATATTCGTGTATGCTCATGTACCATGACACATACTCGAATATATATATATATATATATGTGTGTGTGTGTGTGTGTGTGTGTGTGTGTGTGTGAACCAATCACCTAAAATAGTACACACATATATATGTGGCTAACTTACACACCCTTCCTAACTTTGCCCTCCCCTCCATCCTAGTTAATCTTGGGAACATACATATTCATGTGCGTATGTGTCACTAACCCCATGGACCTGAAGAGGCCACTTGGTCAGGTTTTCTCTTTTCAGGTTCACATAATAGAGAACCCCTAATAATGCGGTCTGGTTTCCCATCAGACCCACCACCCTCCTTAACCAAACCCGTAGAACCCTACCCTGTGGATAGAATACCTCTATCCAAACCTTACTTTAAATTGACATAATAATGATAACCTAGATAATAGCCCATCACCCAATAGGACCAACCCGTCTAGGATCGTTGATTGCTTATGCTTGTTTTACATGCCTTGCTTGTTATTTTTCTTGTTTGTGTGTTCTTGTTTGTCGGCGTTAGACCGCGTAGGATAGAAGACATGAGAGAACCCGATGAAGCCCAGAAGACAGGAGCAAGAGGTACAAGAATCAAATGAGGATGTAATCGTCAGCGAATGGAGGCAAGTCGTAACAACCACCTACCCCTATCCCTCCACCTTAACCACCTCCCTTCTACCACCACTACACTTTGCTAGCCTCCACCATAAACCCTCCACACTCCATCCCCACCAATTAATTACCTTAACTTATAACACTTACACCCTTATTGAGAATTATAATGAATTGAGAACTTGATTATGATAATGTGCATAATAATATGGTAAATGGTTACCTGGATATGACATGAGCTTAATAAATTTGATGATAATAACTATGGAACCTAAACTGGTAAAACTTGGCTAAACCCCGATAGGGGCGAGTGAAGGGTAAATTGTATGGTACAAGTTACCTTGGCATGTTCGCCTAGTGAGGGTTCCGATTGGGAAATACTCGCCTTGGTCACATAAGAACCGGTTCATAGTCCCTCTCGCCTAGTGCGATATTACGTACAACCACTTATCTATATGGGTAGACTTGATCTCACATCCCGTTAGATAGAAGTGTAATTTCTACTAGGAGGTCGGTGTTGGCAGCAGAATATCAGGAGCAGACATGGATGCTATGTGATCTTCCATGGTCCAATTGGCGTGGTTGCTATGTGATCTTCCACGTTAAGCCCCTTGAGTTGGCCACGTTCCGGCCCATATTATTATTATTGTTTATTTTGATGATTTGGTATCATCGGCACTGTGATGTTGGGATGATGTTGTATCGTCTGAGATTGTATGATGGGGTGACATGGTGTCATCCAGGATTATAAGATCAGACGATTTGGTATCCTCCCGGGATTTAGTGTGTTTTTTCCAACCCCTAAGAAGCTGCGGTAGAGTTATATGGAAATCTGAGGATGCGTCCCTTCGGGTACGAGGTCTCGTTAGGCCTGTTCCTGCCACTATGCATAGTTTGGAACTGTGTCTATCATGTGGAAAAATTTGTACACCTCTGTAGAGTTTATTGAATCTATTCGAATAGCCACGTCCTTGAAATGGGCATATGCTGGGATGAGATAATATGATTAGACTTCCACAACCGTGATACTCTGGTAAGATGTATTTTACTAATTTGTTAAATTATAATGAACCCCGAAAACTAGTGAGAATGGTAATACTCTGCCATGGCCAACCTATAATTATAATTACTTCACCCTACCACTTTTACCTCCACCACCATAACCCACCTCCATCATATAGCCTTCCGTATCCACCTTCCCTCCACCCAAAGTTTAGGGCTTGCTGAGTACTTTATGTACTCAACCCCCTCCATTCTATGTGTTTTAGGAGTTTAGCTACAAGAGAACATACCTGGATGGAACTTCTAGAGCTACGCAAGGATAGGATACTCGGAGTATACCCGAAGACGGAGCCGTACGAGAGAGCTACGCTAGGACCACGACGTTTGGAATATAGGAGTACGCTGTAGTAACAAGGTTAGGGTTACGTCCGCACTCCAAGCTGCCTGTAGGAATGGAGCCACGTTGACATAGGACCGCTGTCTTAGAACTTTGATATACGATATAAGGCCAGTGGCCCCAGCTATGAGAACCCGAACCGTGTAACGTGTTTTCCCCTTAGTAATAAAAGTATGGTTTTTTATCAATCTTGTTCGAAATGTGCGTATCAGCTACTGATCCAGGGACTGATACATGATGCACAGAGGACCCTAGAAGTAGGGGCCCGGCAACGTGAACCAGTGGGCCCTTCATCGCATGACGTCGCATGAGCCGCGCCATCCCGACGTTGGATCCCGCGGGTGCCGGCAGTGCGAGTCGGTCGGCTGGCGGTCCTCATGGTGGTGGCCTGCAGGGGGGGCAAGTGGGGCGGGGGGGGGGGGGGGGGGAGGAGGATGGCGGCGGAGGCGGGAGCACCGGACTGGAGCGTCCTAACCCTAGATGGCACGAGCGAATGAGTGAGGGGAGGATGAACAGTGGCTGCTGCTTGTATATATGACCAGCCATTCAGCTGGAGCAGCGCAGCCGAATGGGGCAGCAGCAACCGAAATCAGCCCATTTTCCACCAGCCGAACATGGTGCATATTTTGGTTGTGGTATTAAAGTGGTGGTTGTGTTTGATTGGATAAACTAGTTTACAATTTCAATATGAGATTTTGATTTATGGCATGCTCAGTTAGGGACAGAATATGAGCGTCCACCTTTCTTGAGTTTTCTTAAGCTTGCCCACATAATCATGTCCCAGTTGAGATGGTTTCTTCACAAACACAGCTTCACTAGCCAGGATGTTGTTTTGAATATGTAGTGTTTCAATATTGGTTGAACTGGAGAGCTTTTAAGCAAAGTTCCAGCAATTTACTCAATGGAACAAGACTCATTACTTAAGCTCTGAGGTTCAAACATACTATATCATGGTATTTTTTCAGTTCACGGAAAACATTACTAGTCACAATCCAACAGGATTTTTATAGTTTAGACAACGAGCAAAGGAGGCATGCCATGTGTGACTTGGCTCCCTTCTAACTCCATCAAACAACAGGATGTTCTTGATTTGTGACTTGCAGTCTTTCATATCATCATGTATAAATATTTTTTCCTTTTTAGTGAAGATACAATGTAAGAGCCCTATTGGGAGGGGGGCCCTAGGGGTGCGGTGGCTAGGGTTAGGGGCGGCTAGGGTTTAGGGAAGGAAGAGGGGGCGGCGCAGGGGTTCGAAGAGGAGGAGACGACGCAAGAGAGAGAGAGGGGAGAGGGATAGGGAAGCCCTTAGACTGTTCTTTCTTGATTCCAGATCATTACAATGCCTCTGTATTTATAGTCTCGAGTAGACTTGCATCTTAAGTAATCTAACGAGAAAGGTCCTTATAGATTTGGGCCCAGCAGGGTACCTTGGGCCTATCATTAGGCGTATGACATACAAGGAATGGAACCATAACAGGGTCTTGATTGGTTTTTCTGTGTTGCCAACCTATGGCCTGACTGTGATCAATTTGGGAAGTATGCCCTGCTTCAGGAAGTTCAGTTGATGCCGCTTCATTATGTTCTGTTCTGCATCATATGTTTCATTCTTAGGCTCTTAGCTGATTTCATTCGATCAGTAATTATGCAGCAGCGACAGAACTGTGTTAAGTGTATTAAGCAAGTACTCTGACTGTAGAAGCATGCCTGTTTGAAACTTTGAATGCTGGTGAGGATTCTTCTGCAGTGTTTTCATAATTGCTCTTAATTCAGTTGTGTGGCTTGAGATGGCCTGGGATTTGTCAGCAGTACCATTAGCTTGTTTTGCGCTTATTGTGCGGAAACAACCTGTTGTAGAATGTCCTAAGACTAAAACCTTCATCGAAAAAGGAAAATACCGTATTTTGGTTGTGGCATTAAAGTGGTGGTTGTGTGAAAAGACCGTATTTTTGTTGTGGCATTAAAGTGGTGGTTGTGTTCGATTGGATAAGCTAGTTTGCAGTTTCATTTGAGATTGTGATTTATGTCATGCTCAGTTAGCGACAGGACATTAGTGTTGGAGTTTTCTGGTTAATAGATACTAGATGTGAGGCCGGCGTCCATACGTGGTATGGCCGTTTAGTCATCACACTCATCAGTGCACACAACTGTCCATCTCATGCATCAAACAGGACGAGAGATCTTTGAAACATGAATAAGTTGGCGTCTGCAACTCTGCGTCAAATGAACTTGCAGTTTTTACATGCACAGTGAAACCAATGTAGCAGCTCGCCTTGGTTTGCATAATTGCATTGGTGCACAACCACAAGGCGCATCTCCCTCTGCACTGTGCACCACACACACCCCGGAGCCAAGAATGAGTTGCCGTTCGTACGTCCTAGAGAGCCACCACCCGCCAGGCGACGGCGAGGGCTCTCTGCCCGCCCGCCCGCCCGCCTGGCCGCCGCCGTCACGCCTTGAGCAGGTCACAGCAGCCCCGCGACGGCGCGCTGCCGGGCCACTTGGTGGCCTCGCCGCCGCCGCTGTCGCCTTCGCCGTCACCGCCCGCCATGTTCACCAGCGACGAGAGGAACAAGGCGTCCGCCTGCCGGTCCTGCTGCTGCAGCCTCGCCGCCGCCTTCGCCGTGCTGGCAGCGCTTCCCTCGGGCGGCGGCTTGTGCGGGTTGCCGTCAAGGCTCCGAGTGTTGAGGAAGCGGCCGCCGGTGCCCCGCGCCCGGCGCAGCGCGTGCAGGTGCCGTGACTCGTGCAGGTATGGCTTGCGGTTCCCGGAGACCCGGCGGTCCCTGCTGGCGGCCATAAGCTTGGCGCGCGCCAGGCGCCGCCGGAGGATGCCGTTGAACTGCTTGGCGTTCACGTACACCGGCTCGTCGGCGACGATCGCCGGCGGCAGGAGCACCCTCCCGTGCTTCATCATTTATTTGCAAATATTTGCAAACGAGTCAGCACGAGTAGGTAGATTATAGATTAATACTCCTCCTACTTGAGTCTTGACTCTTGAGAAGCCAGTTAACAAGGAACTGTGTGAATGAAGAATTGAAGACGCGGCGCCAATAAATACGACCTTCATGTACGTACCAGAGCTTGGGCTCCGTAGAAGGGATAGTACGCGGCGCCATAGCTCTGATGGTCAGCAATGGCGGCGTTGTTGTTAAACACCTTCATCATCAGTTACAGGAGCCGACAGGGGAGTAGCACGCATAAGATTAGGATGTCGTTGGAACTTACTATATAATACTAACAGCTTATTACAGTTAATACGAACTGGTACGTGCTGTACCGTACTGTCATTGCTACAAATAACTAACACTCACCATGGATTGCCCAATGCCAAGCTCGAAACGGCCATGGTGGTACCTGTGCAGGAGCTCCGGGTGCGCGGCGGCCATGGCGGCTGGCCCGGGAGGCTCGTGGAATTTCAGCTCGTGCCGCCGAGGGTCTGGATCGCCTGAAAGTAAACCACCAAGCGTACGTCTGCATTGTTAGCTACACACCTCTGACAAACTTCGGTGCCTGATGCTCTACTCTACGGCTGCTAGCTTTTATTTCAGTTCCCATTTCATATGTTCGTCCTCTAATAGTAAGAAACAGGCCATTTTTTAAAAGATGGTTGAGGTAGAGTCTCCGCTGGCCAATAAGCACCAGAGAGAGCAGGGATGCACGGGACCATTTCTTCTTCCTTTGAAGCCATCGGATTTGAACCTTGGTGATGGTGCCTACTAAACATTTTGTATCTCTAATATACCTTGACCATCTGTTTTTTTTCCGCTTGTTTTTCTTTGACAAAAAAGAGTTATGTGTGCAATGCAAGGGCTTATTTGACAGAGCTCTAATGACTCCTAAGCTGGATATCATGGGGTGTTTGGGACTGCATCATTCCACGTTTTTTAGGCCAAATAGGGCCATACAACTCTGCTCCAGGAGAAAAGGTGGAGTTGTGAGAGCACCTAAAGGGGTGCTCCATAAACTCTAGCCTTTTTACGAAGCTATTCCACGGTAGAGTTTGTGGTAGATTTCGTAGAGCAGTCCCAAACAACCCCTATATATTGTCACTAGCTCCACAAATTCGAATAGAGACAACTCATCTTCTATGTTACTAAAACTAGAGGTTTACTCCATTTGTTTCCCAAAAAAACGAAAATCGTTCTTACTCCAAACCTAGGATGGACGAAGGTGGAGCCCTGTACGTTAGGATGATCTCCACCAGTTGGTCCAACGGCCAATTGGACCCTTGATCCGCGCCCTGATCAGGGGGGCTCTCACCAGTTTCTCTGGCTGATGGGCCCCGTCGTGCAGCGCCACAAAAGGACGGTGAGGGTTGGGGCACAAGACATGAGGTCACCGGTAGCCGTCAGCCCCACCCGAAGTTCCTAACTCTAGACCGATCGAGAGGGGCGCTGTGAGCGATGGGACGCGCCATCGCCTTCGCCGCCACCACAGCACGGCGGCGCTCTCAGCCTAGGGCAAGCGAGGGCGCCGGTGAGGGGACTAGTGGCAGCGTCGCTCCGCTGCTCTCGCTTTTCCACCGCGGCGTGGAGAGGAGAGAAAGGGAAGAATGAAATGAGTTTAGGGTTCGGGGAAGAGGCAGGCGCCGGTGGAGGTGGGGTTTTTTGTTTTCCCGATCTATGCGCGCAGCCGTCGGATGAGATACGATGGTCACCGCTCCGTGGACCGAAAACAGCCCAGGCAGGTAGCAACTTTGCCGGCCCAGGCCCAGGTTGCAGCCTGGGCACGGCGCGCGAGGCTGGTCAAGGGCCGTTTTTTGCCGCTGGGCCTTCGGGCCGAATGAACAGTAAATGGTTTTATTAATTTCAGAAGCAAATTTTGATGAATTTTGATTAGTTTTCATCTCTATTCAATTTTGAACCAACGGGATAAATTGTTCAGAGAATAGATGAGTACAGTGAAATGCTTCTGAAAAGTAGATAAATTATTTTTTCATGTCTCCGCTACAAAGTTTAATGCTGATTATCTTCTAATTAAATTCGATCCAACGGGAGAATTTAATTTGAAGATCAGTTATATTTATTTAGTAAATTATGATTATGTTTATCCTCTAATTAAAGTGAAATCAACTGGAAAATTGAAATTAGAGGAGTAGTCCGATTTGTTTATGTTAAATTATAGTATTGTTATTTTCTGACCAATGTTGATGATAACAATATTATAATGAGTTTAAGGTTGAAGTTTAAATCTCTGATAAATTTCACATCAACGTGGTCAATTTTTCAGAGAGTAGATAAGGACCAAGAAATGCTCCTGAACTAATAGAATGTATTTTATTATCAAGTTTTCACTGCAATGATATTGATTATCTTCTAATTAAATTCGAACCAACGGAAGAATTTAATTTTGAAAGTAGTTATATGTCTTCCAAGTTAATTTATGAGTTTTATGAATTAATTCTTTTTCTGCCCAACTGATGTAGAATTGATGCAGAAACATCTTGTGTGTTTTATTTTTAACCGACGAGATCACTCGGCTGCATGCCAACGGGCTGCAATGCTGGGCTATGTGAAAGAAAAGGCTTGAGTCAAACCAGTTCATGACTATTTTGTGTTAGTTTACTAATTTTCTGATTAAATTGGAACCAACGGAAATATTTAATTGGAAAATAAAGTATAAGTGAATGTTTTATGATAAGAGTTGCAATAAGTAACATGCATGTCTAATTTGACCAACGTTGGATTAAGCATGCGTGTTTGTATATAGATTTATCCCGCATGGGGAGAAGTTTGGCATAGTACTTATGCTAGTCCAACCTGCATGTCAGAAGAAGTTTTGTGATGACTCATATGTTTTTGTATCCTGCATAGCGAGAGAAGTTTGGGTAGCTCTTATGCTATCCTAGTATTGACCATGGTACAATTGAAATGCATCGTCATGGTCAATACTAACTAAAAGATAAAAAAGATGCAAGTGTGACTTGCAAAAGTACTGATAATAAAAACCTCGTTGAGTTCTTGAAGTGAAATGAGGACAATGTACTCCTATATGGATCAAGAAATAACTTTATTTGCATGGCATAATCATGTGAATGAAGTAAGTCATAAGTGTCTCCTCGTTCACAGTTTTTCTAAATAGTTCTCGAAATTATGGCAGTAAAGTTCATGCTATATTTCGAGGGGAAGAATTGTGAGATGAATTAAGAGTAAGAATAGTAAGATCAATTAAGAAAGATACTCTTCATTAAGAGTGAGATAAAGATTAATTAAGATAAATGTGACCGTCGGAGGAGTACAACGATCATAATAACAATACCCCTAAGCAGAGAAATAACTAAATTCCTGGACCTTTTACAGTTCCGATAGAAAGATAGCGTAGTCAACCAGAATCCATACTAGACGAGCTTTAAAGATGTTAAGGTGGTGCTTCAAGCGCCATATGAGGTTTTAACAGATTAAACCCAAATAAGAAATTTGAGGATACACTATCTTCATAGAAGATGGGATAATCTTGGGAAACATGGTATGTACAGACCTATGACTTGAAGAGAAGCGGGACTGCGTGCCCACTCTAGTGATTCAAAACAACGAATTTCTCGATACCTGTTGATGTTGTATGACTTATACAACATTTGTTGTTTGCTCTTCGAAGATGAATAATGTAAACAAGGATCTTGTAATATAGGAGCCTGTAGAATCAATTGTCTCTTGGCAATGATGAGCAACAACAGTCCCACATGAAAGTGCCAGTAGCTGAGGCTCCAGAAGGTCTCAAAGAAATAGTAAACCAGTTTTCGAATGACTATAAAGTCTATGTTAGTGAAGAAATTCAAATGGAGGGTGATCCCACCTCATTTGAAGAAGCCATGAGAAGCATTAACTCATTTGAATGGCAAGAAGCTATGGAAGTTGAAATGAATTCGATGAATACCAATGATATTTGGGACTTAGAAGAAATTTCTAATGGAGCCAAAACAGTAGGCTGTGAAAGGGTCTACAAGACAAAATGTGACTCCAAAGGGAATGTGAAAAGATATAAAGCATGACTTGTAGCAAAAGACTTTACGCAAAAAGGATGAAAAGATTACGATGAGAGCTTTCTCTCCAGTCTCATGCAATGATTCTTTAGAATCAAAATGGTGTTATTGACACGTTACAATTTAGAGTTACATCAGATGGATGTAAAGACAGTATTCCTCAATGGGGATTTGTATGAAAATGTTTACATGGCACAACCCAAATGTTTTATCGTGGAAGAAAAAGAACGTATGGGATGCTGCCTGTAGAAATCCATTTATGGGTTAAAACAAATCACTAGACAGTAGTATTTGTAGTTGATGAAACAATAAGAAAGTTTGGGTTTTAAAGAAAATGAGAATGACAATCGCGTTTACGTGAAGTTTAAGAATGGAAAATTCATTTTCCACATCCTGTGAATAGATGACTTTCTACTCACTAGTAGTGATGTTAATCTGTCATTGGAGAAGAAGAAGTTTTGTCATCAAGTTTCAATGTGAATGATCTTGGTGAAGCATCATTCGTTCTAGGAATCAAAATTCACCGAGATAGAAGAAAATTGGGTATTAGGACTATCGCAAAGGCATACTTAGAAAAGATTCTAAAAAAATAAAGTATGCATGCGAGGAAACCTACGCCTGCTCCTATAGTCAAGGGTAATAGTTTTGAGAACTTTAAGTGTTCTAGAAACCGATATGAGATCGATCAAATGAACATGGTTCCATATGCTTCAGCTGTTGGAAGCTTGATGAGTGTACAAGTACAGGTAAGAACTTACCCTGACGTAGTTTACGTATCCGGGATATTTTGGCAGAAGTTCAGTCCAGATATAGATCACTGGAATGGTGTTGAGAATGTCTTACAATTTTGTAAAGTATCATAGGCAAAAGGAGGTTAAGGGAATTAGTACCCGGATTTAACATTGGTAGTCAACATCAATAACCATTTAAAGTAGTTAACTCCTAAGATAACAGGTCAAGTGTGCTGCCAAACACATTGACATTGAGTTATATGTTGTAAAGGAGAAAATCCAGAATCATTTTGAAAGCATTGAGCATATGAGTACCAAGTAAGTACTTGTGGATCCGCATACCAAAAGCTAACCACCTAATGCGTTTAGAGAACACACAGTCGACATGGGTTTATGGGAAAGCCTATAATTTCTAGATACTCAGGACCTAGTTGAGAATCTGTTTCAAAACAGAGAGATGCATTGTAGCTGTTTAATCTAGTGGCAACTGACCGTGACGATGAGGCACGCTCTATGCACTGATCTATGATGAAATGGAAAAAAGATAAAGTAAGTTGAGTTTAAGTCATAAGGTGAGATCAAGGAGGAGAATGTTATGATGATCTCCACCAGTTGACCCAATGGCCAATTGGGCCTTTAATCCACGCCCTGATCGGGGCGCTCAGCCTGTTCTCTT